AATATTGAGGAATCAACTTAAACTTATTCTTTGCGTCAACATTGATGATTTGACCTGAACAGCCCAGGTCAAAAAATTCATAAATTAATTTTAAATCTTTTGTATAGAATCGTCCCATGAAGTTCTTTTTCTTTCGGCATTAAGTAGTTACATATCTATCTAGCAAAAGGTTGTAATGGAAAACTCTGAAATTATTTAATAATGAAAAAATGTACTTAATTGCTTTTGAGAAAATGCCGACAAACACTAATAAAAGCAGTTAAAGCACTGTACAAAGAAAACAAAGTAGCTATTAAATGTGGAAATAAAGCCTACAATCCATTTAAGACGACAAAAGGACTTCTACAAGGCTATGCTACGTCCCCTACTCTGTTTAAAATATTCTTGGAAAAGACACTCAAACCATGGAGGAGACAGTGCGAAGGAATGGGCATACCAGTAAGAGACGAATACCTATACACCTTAAGTTTTGCCGACAATCAAGTAGTCATCGCACAAGATGAAGAAGATCTCAGCTTTATGCTCAGAAAACTAGAAGAGGAATATAAAAACAACGGAATGGAAATAAACTTAGAGAAAACTGAATACCTAACAACAGAAAACAAGGATATGAGAAACGTAGAGATAGACGAGGGAAGACAAGTAAATGGAACAGATAAATTCAAGTATTTAGGAACCATAATATCGAACCAGGGAACAACAGAAGAAGATATAAACAACAGACTAAGACAAACAAGAAACTGTATAAGACAACTAAATTCAGTGCTGTGGGATAAGAACATTACGATAAAGACAAAAAAGAGAATATATAATACCCTGACAAGACGTATCCTGACATATGGGTCCGAAAACTGGACAATAAACAAGAGAAATAGAGGTAGAATAAGAGCAGTAGAAATGGAGTTCCTGAGGAGAAGCTGTAGACTTACAAAAAGAGACAGAATTGAAAACGCAGAGATTAAGCAGAGAATGGGAGTGCAAACAGACGTAATCGACTATATAGAGGAGAAGAGACTATCCTGGTACGGCCACGTCAGAAGAGCGGACAGAGGACGCTGGATAAACAAAATCACAGAATGGAGCCCGATCGGAAGAAGAAAGAGAGGAAGACCCCGAAGGTCATTCAGAGACGAAATCGACGAGGCCATGGAGAAAAGGACCTACGAGATGGAGACTGGAATGACAAGGAAAATTAAAGAAAACGGTTGAGTGAAGGAAGATAGTGAAAACTGTGGAAATCCTTAGTAGTAGTAGTAGAAAATGTCGAGAAATCGAGTAAAATTTAATTTAAGACCAAATAATCTGTACAAAATCGTGTAGAATAGTTACCGGTTGTTATTCAGGAGGTTTACCAATTTGATGGTGTATCTCTAAAGAATCCACTGAAGAAGAAATAGAAAACTTTTATCAGACTCTGGAAGACTCTCTAAAACTGACCAAAAACATGAACCCTGAACTTACTTTTATCATTGGCGATTTCAATGCCAAAATAGGACAAGGTACAGTCGAGAATATCGTGGGGTTATATGATCATGGCATAAGAAACAAAAGAGGAGAAAGACTGATCTAATTCGGCCACAAGGCGGATATAGTTGTAACGAATACACTTTTTAAATTACAAAAAAGGCTTTATACATGGAAAGCATCCGGTAATACTCCAGGGAAAATCATAAGAAACCAAATTGATTTTATCAACATAAACAAAAGGTTTAGAAATTATATCACCTCAACACAAACATATCCAGGCGCAGATGTCTTCTCAGATCATAGTCTATTGGTTTCAAATATCAACATACGACTTAAACTAATTCATAATAAAATGACATCCAGAAAAAAGTAAAAACAGAGATTAATAGGAATTTTGCGAAATAGTTGGAGACACTACTAGAGGCATAGAAGAACAGTGGAATGAAATGAAGACATCTATTACCACAGTTTCGCATGAATATCTAAAATCAAAAAGAGAAAAATGGATGACAAATAAAATATTGCAGATGATAGGAGAGCGAAGAAAATTAAAAGGTAGAAATGACAACTAATACAAAAAGTTGGTTAAGACTATACTAAAGAAGATAAAAGAAGCAAAAAAGGCATGACTGATGGAAAAATGTATGGAAATTAAAACACTACAACACAAACATGACAACTGATCTATTTTGAGCTGCTGTGTATAGAATAAGATAGGTCAATGTGGCCACCAACATCTCTAAAAATGTTGGCGTCACATTTAGACGAAGATCTATAAAGATTTGAACCACTGCACAGTTTGAGAAATACAACAAAACTATTATCAGAAGCATGATAAAGTTATCTTTATAGCGTCTTGGATGAAACATTCTTGATTTTGTTTTAATACATAATATGAAAAAAGCACTTTTTGTAAAATTCTTATAAAATGACACTTATTTGACTCACAAATAGGAAAGAATTAACAATTTAACTTGTAACCAAGAATGGAACAATACAATCATTCTCATTATTCTCAAAAGATGTCAAATATCTCTAAGTTGTCCTCGATCGAAAGCACGGAATGTGTAAGGGGGCCCCATGTTGGGCGCCAATATAACAAAAATTGTAAAGGTGGCTTTTGTGGTACGCACCAGTTTAACAAGGATAGGGGGTTGGCGGATGTAGTAGCCGATGTAACAAAAATGAAAAAATATGCTCACAACCCAATATTGTGATACTTAATGTAGCCTAATGTAGTTTGGCTAGCAGGCTATGACAGAGGAGGACCAATTAAACTCATGAAAAAATCCAGACAGCGCAAATATCGTTCTTCTTCTTCTTCTTCTTCAGCCTGTGTTCGTCCACTGCTGGACATAGGCCTCTTCCATTTGCTTCCATCGATTTCTACTTTTGGCAATTCTCATCCACTGCTTGCCCGCGACTTGTTTGATATCGTCTGTCTACCTCTTCTGTGGTCTGCCTACTCCTCGCCTGTTCTCTCTTGGTCTCCAGTTTGTTAATCTTTGTGTCCATTTTTCGGGATTATCTCGGGCAACGTGTCCGACCCATTGCCACTTGAGCCTTGCAATACGTTCTGAGACATCAGTAATTTTTGCTCTTTCACGAATGACGTTATTTCGAATCCTGTCTCTCAAACTAATCCCTAGCATGACCCTCTCCATTGCTCTTTGGGTTGTACTGAGCTGCTCTAAGGTTTTCTTTGTGAAGGCCATGGTCTCCAGTCCATATGTAGTTACAGGCAAGATACATTTGTCATAAACTCTACGTTTTAGACACATGGGTATATCTTTATTCTTCAAAATAAAGCTTAATTTGCCGAAAGCTCCCCAAGACAGTTGTATGCGTCTTTTTATTTCGACTATTTGATTTTCTTTGCCGATTTTAATGGTATGTTCAAGATATATATATATATATATATATATATATATATATATATATAATATATATAGTGGTCTACATTTTCAAGACTGACGTTGTCAATAACAAGATTAGTTTGTAAATTACTCATTATTTTTGTTTTCTGAAGGTTCATTTTGAGACCTATTTTATTTGACTGCTGGTTTAAGTCCTTTAACATTTGCTCCAGTTCCTTGATATCTGTATTAAATAATACTATGTCATCCGCAAACCTCAAATGACTCAAACGTACACCATCAATGTTTAGACCTTTTTCCTCCCAGTCAAGCTGTTTGAATACATTTTCCAATGCTAAGGTAAAAAGGTTTGGTGAAATAGTATCACCTTGTCTAATACCTTTATCAAGGCGCATTTTTTCAGTTTTTTCGTCTTCATTGATTTTGATGTGGAATGTGGCCTGTTCATAAATGTTTTTAATGAGTGTAGTGTACCGTGAGTCTATTCGAGCATCCTTCAGGGCTGACAAAAAGGACCAAGTCTTAATACTATCGAAAGCCTTGTGAAAGTCGATAAATGCCATATGTAAAGGTACATTATATTCTGAAATGGCAACCCTCGATTTTAGGGTTGATATAGAATCAAAACAGTAGCGTCTGATCCAGAATGGACGGCTGCGAACAGCGTCTGACCCAGAATGGGCGGCTGATATAAAACTCACCAACCCGTCTAGCCAGCGTGGTGTTTCAAGGCTACTCATCCTTCCAAATATCGTTACTACAGCAAAAAGGTATCTTTGAGAATACGTTGGAACTACAGATTCAACGCCGTAGGACAGCCATAGAGGTAATGTTGGATCTTTCTTTTTTGCATATACATGTAACCAGAATTCATTTCTAGAAAGTGGATTTAAGCTAACATGCGCAACAATATTAACCTGGACCCCTGACTGGGTATCTAGAAATTTTAAGAGTTGACACAATACAATGTACGAAGATGGTCACAATTATGTTCGAAAAACAATATTTTAAATTAAATCAAAATCATAAATAATACAATATATATATATATATATATATATATATATATATATATATATATATATATATATATATACTGTCACTATTTTTCCGTGTTTGACTCCGCGTTTACAACGCGGAGTCAAACCCGGAAAAATAGTGACAGCACATATAGCTCCGCGGAAACCTCAAAACAAACATATATATATATATATATATATATATATATATAATATATATATAATATATATATATATATATATATATATATATATATATATAAACACAAAAGAGAGAAGGAATAGGAGGCTGTCTAGCACCTTATGCTCCAGTACCCTGAGCTTCATGTGTGGTATAGAACTTCAAATATCCGATAGTCGAAGAAAACTGTTTTGTTCTTTAAAAGAAAGTAAAAAACGCCCTAAAAACCTTCACGGGTAAGCAAGGTAGGTATAGACAGACGAGAAACGCCAGTAAGCAACGAAGAGGGTAAACGAAAAAGAGAAGAGGGAAAGAGTAAACTACATGAGTTAGTAACAAATGCTAATATCGAGAGAACGTTATGTTGACAGCAGTTGCAAAGAATACAAAAAGCAAAGAATAAGTCAAAATATAATTCAAATATGGTCGAAAAGGAATTATCGTCTTAAATACTATTTACACTGAGGTGGTAATTTGTTCTATCACTTGAATATTTCTAATAATTGGCCTCCTATAAGCTCTACAATATTCCCACCTAGCCAGGCCCTCTGGCACGCTTTTACTAGGTCTCAACGTACCCTTTTTCACTCTAGGAAGCGAAGCATACCGAATGCACTCTTGCTTATTACACACATTGGGGTTGTAATAAGGGGAATGGTTGATGTTGGCCGCGTAACTCAAGCTCTTCGGCAGGTACTGGATGTGCGGCTCTCTTCGGTGCCGGAACGAGTGCCTATGAAACGGAGATTTGTCGCAATGGTCGGAGCAACTGGGAAATATTCGCTCGTAGTGGTTACTTCCGTGACGATAGAAGTTGTACGGGTTTACGTCTGGGGTGTAAATTGGGTTGTAGGGGCCTAAGGTACATATGCATTCATTGAGGTTGGCGATGGTGCAAGCGTTTAGATTGCAATTGTTCGAATTGCTGTTTACTATGGGTTGGTGTTCTTTTCGGGTGCCGACCAGGAACATTAAACTGGCGCCTAAAACATTTAGAATATATGATTAGTAAAAAATATATTTTTTTGTAGTTAAAATTATTAGTAGTAATTTTTTTGAATGCAAGGGATAGATAAACGTTAACTTAAAGCCTTTTCTATCCAAACGTCAACTTCACTGTCTTTCCAGAACGGACTTGGTGTATTTTGTTCTTACAAAGGAGGCTCTAATACGGCATACAAGATATTGTCAAACATTTTGCACGGGAGATTGAAGCCTTATACCGAAGCGTTTCTAAAAAAATATTAGGCAGGATTCAGGCGTGGACGTTCAACCATTAACCAGATCTTTACACTACGACAGATCCTCGAAAAAGCGCAAGAGTTTAACATAGATATGTATCATATTTTTGTCAATTTTAAAGCAGCATATGAGTGTCTTAAGACCAAGTCTTTACAACGCTATGAATGAGTTAGGAATTCCAAAACATCTTATATATTTGATGAAAGTGACAATGGCGAAGATGCTATCAGCAGTAAAAATTCAAAACGACTCGTCAACCCTATGTAAAATACATAGGGTACTTGGGGGTAAAAACACGCACGGGGCAAAAGAACGCACCTCATTTAAATTTGCCGCTAATGTCCAGTTTCTAACGATTTTAGTTACAAACGTTTGGCAACATTGTGCCATATGTGTGTTCCAAGTTGAAAGCTGATTCAAGACGTTGTTTACAAATTATGAGGTAAATATTATTTTTTACTATTACACTGTAATATTGGCATAACAAAATTAATTTGTGATAAAATCAAATTGGCATTTTTCATTGAATTAGTTTATTCGGGTGTTTTCTTGGCTTGATTGTAGGTTATTATGTTAAGAGTTTTCGATTGAGGTTAGGTCTTTTATATCTCAACAGGTGGTTTTGACAGTGTTGCAGAATGGGGCAAAAATACGCGAGAGTTATGGGGCAAAACTTCGAATGCGTATTTTTGCCCCGTTATCGTAAATTAATTTTGTTTCTACTAATTTTGGAATTAAATATTCAATTCATCTAAATCTTGGTTTCTTTTTTTTTCAGAAACTACAAAAAAAATCAGAGCGCAAGCCTTTGACAGAAGTTATTTTGTGTGAAGCTCGTGAACTTATTAATAATGGCGTTTCTATACGTCAGGCAGCAAAAGCTGTGGGATTTCATGAAGCGACACTACGGCAAAGGTTGAAAAAAGGAAATGGTGTCCAGTCTTTAGGCAGATTTAAAGCAGTTCTAACCAAGATCCAAGAAAACGAAATAGTTCAGCATTGCAAAGAACTCGACAAACGATTTTATGGAATGACGCTGAAGTCATTGCGTTTTTTAATTTACTCTTATTGTGTAAGAAACCGTATTGAGCATCCATTTTCACCTGTAAATCAGTTGGCTGGTCGGGACTTCACTAGATCGTTCATGAAAAGGAACCGACTATCTTTACGTGTTCCACGAAAAACCAGTATTGCTAGAACTATGGGCTTCAATAGAGTGCAACTAGCTCTGTATTTTAATATTTTGGAGAACACCATAAAAAAATATAAGTTACCTCCCAACCGTATATATAACGTCGATGAAACGGGCATTCAGACAGTCCCAAACCATCTGCCCAAACATGTTGCCCCAATTGGAAAGAGAGATGTAGCAAAAGCTGTAGCTGCCGAGCAAGGACAAACTATTACGGCTGTTTGTTGTATGAGTGCAACTGGTCACCATGTCCCTCCATTTTTCTTATTTGCTCGAAAACGGATGAATTTTCTTCTAATCAAAGACGGGCCCACTGCCTGCGACATGGCTGTTACTGATAGTGGTTACATGAACACTCCCACGTTTATCAAGTACCTGGAGCATTTTAAAAAACATACAAGTCCAACAGAGGAGAACCCCGTTCTCCTGATTCTAGATAATCATGTATCGCACACAAGTCTTCAAGCAGTAACATTTGCAAAAGACAATTTCATCCATTTATTAAGTCTGCCACCACATAGCAGCCATAAGACCCAGCCACTCGATCGGGCATTTTTCAAACCATTAAAAGCTTATTATGAGAGCGTCGCTGACAGCTGGACCAGTTCCCATCCAGGACAGGTTCTCTCCATTTACCATGTAGCTGGTCTCTTTTCCACAGCATTTGCAAAAACTGCTACTGTAGATATAGCAAGAGAGGGCTTTCGGTCTACTGGAATCTACCCACTAGATAAAAATATTTTTTCGGACGTAGATTTTATGCCAGCGGAAGTAACAGAGCAAGATTTAGGTGAAGATTCAGACGATGAAGGTCATGTTTTTATTTAGTTTCAGCAAGAAGAAGAACTTGTTACTGATGCGATAGAGCCCCAGCCGTCATCAAAATTGGAAGTCAGAATTTCTGTACCTGGTCCTTCAAATATTGAAAAAGAAACTGTTACTGACACGAAAGAGCCCCAGCCGTCATCAAAATCGGAAGTCAGAATTTCTGTACCTGGCCCTTCAAATATTGAAAAAGAAACTGTTACTGACACGAAAGAGCCCCAGCCGTCATCAAAATCAATTTTAGCTTAAGATATTATTCCCTTCCCAAAAATTAAGATAAAAAGGAAACGAACTAGGAAAAGTTTGAAGTCAACCCTATTAACATCGACGCCTAATAAGGAGCGACTTTTAGAAGAACAAGAAGAAAAGAAGGAAGCTGAAAAAGAGAAGGAGAGGAAAGCATTACTGAAGAATCAAAAGATCAAATCTCAAAGTGCTAAAGTTCGTGCTGCCAAAAGGAAAGTTTTCGACGAATCATCATCTGATGAATCAGTAGCACTCTCCTATCAAGAAAGTATTGATTCTTGTGACATTCATTTTTCCGATAACGATGAAGAGCAAGACATTGATGTTGTACCAGATATTTTACCTGATGACTTTGTCGTAGTGAAGGTTTTTGGAAAAAAATCATACAGATTATTTGTCGCCAAAGTCTGCCAAGTAAATGATGATGGTTATGAAGGGGTATTTTTAAGCGACTGCCTACAACATTCCGTTTTCGTGAAACAACGGAAGATGCCTTTTTTCGAAAGGACGATATTGTTTTAAAGCTTTCAAAGCCAATAAAAACCAGCTCTTTCAGATTTTCAAATTCAGTGGGATTCTCTGATGACCTCGTCAAATACTCTTCTCTTTTAGATTAACGTCTTGTATTTTATTTTACGTTTGGTTTTTTTCAATAAAATTGGTTTCTTTTAAACGCCTACCATCTCTTTTATTTGGGGTTTTATACATTTTAGCTTTGGGGCAAAAATACGCACTTGCGTACTACTGCCCCATTTGTAGGGGCAGTAGAACTTATAGAACTACTGTCGATACTTAAAATGGAAAAACAATATGCAAGCTTTCCTGTAATAATATTGGAAAAGTTCTAAACTGTTATAATTTCTGAAGACGACAGGAGATAACGAAACTGCGTGTTTTTGCCCCCAATTACCCTAGGGGTTAAGGCAGGAAGATGCGCTGGCGTGTCAGCTTTTTAATGTCGCCTTAGAAACAGTTGTACGAGACGCTAATTTAGACAGTAGGGGAACAATATTTAACAGATCAGTCCAAATTTTAGCATTTGCAGACGACGTGGACATTATAACAAGAACCAGGGCGAGAACTGCGGAAATCCTAACCAAGCTAGTAGCAGCAGCAGAACGAATGGGGTTACATATAAATCAAAATCAAACCAAATTCATGGCGACTAACACAAACACAAGAGCTGGAAATGTTGACGCAGATTTTATCATCAATGACCAAAACTTTGAAGCAGTCAAAGAGTTCAATATTTAGGGACATCGGTTAACCCCAATAATAACACATTTACGGAAATAAAAAGGCGAATAATAATTGCAAACAAGTGTTATCATGGTATATCAAAGTACTTAGCTAACAAACGTCTGTCTCAAAAAACTCGTATAAGACTGTGTAGAAAACTGATAGTCCCCGTTCTCACATATGGATCAGAGGCATGGACGCTAACTAAAAACAGATGAATCCGCTCTATCGATTTTTGAAAGAAAGGTGCTACGCACAATATTAGGAGCGGTCTATGAGAACGAAATATGGAGGCGTAGATAGAATTATGAACTGCAGAATATCTACAAGCATACGTTGGGTGGTAAAGATATTTCCACTATAATTACACGAAACCGCCGAACAGGACATAGCTCGGGTCCCTGAATCGAACTTAATAGAAAAGATTCTAACAGTGCATCCCGTGGGAGTGAGAAGACCAAAACTCAGGTGGATGGACGGGGTAACACAAGATGCCAAGAAGATCGGAGTCGGCAACTGGGAAATGCAAGCAAGGGACAGAACAGAATGGCTAGAAAACTTGAGAAGGTCGAGGCCCTCTAAGGGCTCTAGCACCAAGATAATGATGATGATAATGAAAAGAGGCTCTAACGACAGAGTGTGGCCGTGAGAAAGCTTACAAAAAGAGAAAAGTATCTTTAAACAAATATAAACCAATATATCTAGTATATTAAGTTTTAGCAACATAAACTCTAACTTTTGCTTTGGCTAAAATAAATCTTACTTACCAATAATAGTCGTAACGAAACTAAAGTAATACCCCGCACGGGGATAGGTCAAGTTTATGTATCCCGTGATAGGGATTCCTACTAGAACAGGTATCGATTTAGCGCCCTGAATAAAACTCCAGGCTTTGGTAAAATGTCTCCCCTTGATTCGTTCCAGGGTAAACATCTTTAAGGCATAGTTGTATCCTCCCAAACAGATTCCGTAGAGCCAAACAAAAAGAACGTAACCGTGGTAACCCTGAACTGCGCTAAGGGCCAGGAGTGAGATACCTGAAACAGATTAATTAAGAATATATTCTTCTTTTGCGGATTCTCTTATGGTTTTTAAATAAGGAGAATAATTAGGATTTTGAAAAATTCTTGTTTTTTCTATATTCGTTTGATTTTATGCCTAATAAAACTTTGTACACTCAAAATGAAGAGCGGCGGATGGATACTCTCTACGATTTCTCGTAGTCATATTCCAATCCAAGCTCTCCTTTAAGTAGATAGACAGATAAACATTTATTTTTAGACCTTTATTGGAGAGGCTAGAATGTTGATATGTATCTAATATATGTCTTGAGATAATATCGAGTTATTCTAATCTTAGCTCAGTAACAGTATCTCTTTATGGTGTGACATATTGATATTAAATGGAGTCGTACCAATGGTTTCATTTGGCTAACTGGTTAAATAGTAAAAAGAAACAATTACTTCATGGTTACTAGCTATTGAATAATTTACGTTGTACCAATTTTTATTATATCTTTTTTTCTATGAAGAAAGCGGGGAATTTTTATGAACTTAAAGAAATAAAATATAGTGAAGTGCTTTATTTTTATTTAAAAGTTTAATTTCTCTATTAGTCCTACTTAGTAAATAACTATATTATTTTGAATGTAAACAAATTTCGAAATTTGGGGATAATACTATATTTCATTTCTTAACTATTCTTAATTTAATACGATATAAAACTTTTGTTTGTCTATACGATTTTTAAATTAGTTTTGTATAAACACTCCTCATGGTAATGTAAATATGGAATGGTATTTTGATATCCTTTTGGAGTGACGTGACTTTTAATGTTTTTTTGTTCATTACTAAGAGATAATAAAGTATAGTTTTGTTGTAAACTTTCTATAAATCTTTCGATGTATCATCCCTATTTACCAATATCCCCATACATGACTCTCTAGTTGTTCTGCGAGATCACTTGACCAATGATAACAAGTCTTTGGTTTTGGCAGATCTTGCGGAAAAATGCCTCCTTTCAACATATTTTTCTTTTAGAGGCAATTTCTACAAACAAATATCTGGAACACCAATGGGTTCTCCCCCTTTCCCCTGTCATTGCTGACATTTTCATGGAAGCCTTTGAGTCTTTAGCCCTAAAATCTTACCCCTTAAAACCGAAAGTCTGGTTCCGCTACGTTGATGATACATTTATCATCTGGCCCCATGGTCAACATACCCTCTTTCTACCCTTCCTAGATCATCTTAACTCACAACATCCAAGTATAAAACTCACAATGGAAGTAGAAAATAATCGGTCCCTTCCCTTTCTCGATGTGTTAGTCCCTACTCCAAGCCCAATGGCCGTTTGGGTCACCCTGTTTATAGAAAAAACACTCACATGAATCGTTACCTACATGCTTCATCACACCCCATCCTGCCCAAAAGAATTCTGTGATCAACTCTCTCATCCATCGGGCCATTTCGATTTCTGAACCTGACAACCTTAGAGAAGAACTTGGCCATCTGCAAAAAACCCTTGTCGCCAACGGTTACTCCAAGTCCACAATTCAAATTATTACACACCGACATCTACATCCCCCTTTACACCCTACGACGACAAATTCAGAATCTTCGGTAATACTCCTGTGGCTTTTCTTCCGTATATTCGAAGTGTCACTGATAGGATTGGCAAAATTCTTCGCAAAGAAGGTATCAGGACTACTTTTCGACCACCCAAGAAAATCTCACAATATCTACCCTCTCCTAAGACCCATTACCGCCCCTATCTTCCTGTGGGGTGTATTCTATTCCTTGTTCATGTGGACATGTGTATATTGGCGAAACTGGTCGTTCCGTCAAAACTCGGATTCATGAGCATCAAAGATGCATTCGATCAGGTCTTTTCTCCCATTCTGCAGTTGCAGAACACCGCCAAGAAACCGGTCATTCCATATTGTTCGAAAAAACCCATATTATTTCTAAGAGCCCCTTCTTTTATTCCAGGAAAATCCGCGAATCTCTAGAGATCCGAAAAAATCCACATAATATCAATCGAGAGGAAGGATACTACTTGTCTCCCATCTGGAATCTCAGTCTAGAGCCGCCGTCCGGTCCCGCTACCACGATGCAGTCACATGATTGGCTAGCGCGCGCTTCTTGAAGTTCGCGCCACGAAGTGTGCCGATACGTCCCGACACGACAGGTCACCGCGACTATAAATAGAGCGGTAGCGGAATAATCGTCAGATTCACTCCCCGCCTCTCGACGCGTTAGTGTTCTGAGCTGTTGGACGTGAATCCCTGTCCTGGCATTTGGTTTTCACCTCTGGCTGCGTTGAGTAGTTGAGTTACTGTGACCAAATGCCTATCTTGGTAAGTTAGTATTCGCCTCTTGTTGCGTTGAGTAACTGAGTTACCGTTGCTAACTACCCATCTTCCTTTCTTCTTTTTCTTTTTTTTCTTTTCTTTTTCTTTGTTCTCCCGAAGAAGCTACATACAATCGTAGCGAAACGACGAGATGAACCCACTTTTGGGTCACTCACAAATAACACGGTCCAAACCCGGACGACGAATAAACTATAATTCTATAAATCTTATTTTTTTTCTTTTCTCGTCTCCTTCGAGGTTTAAACCAAGGGTGGCGTCCAATAATAAATTATAATTTCATATTATCTAATTGTGCTTGGATTTAAGATATGATGCAGTTTCTATATGTTTGTAAGAACCCCCCAATTTTCTCCGACAATGAGCGATTCTGGCCTTGAATTTAATTTGTGTGCCAAATGCTTATTAAACATGTACGCCACAAACCATACATCTTTACATATGCTATCGAAATTTTAAACCTGTAAGTTGAAGGGAAGAATTAATCCAATACAAGGGAGAAGGATTTATATCACATAATTAGAAATCGTCTTCTTCTTTTTGTAGACATGACTCTGTCTGTTTTTTAATGTGCTTCCTGTAAGTTGTCGTTCCATCGTTTTCATGGTCTTCCTACAGATAGTCTTGCAATTGGAGAACCATTTCTTGTCATCTTTACTCTCACTTATTTATTTTTTAATCAGTTCTTGATATTCTCCCCCTTGCATCTACGTCGTAAGAACGTCATCTACTGTTTTTGTAAGAAGAGAGAGGTTGTGACTCTTGAAGAAGTTCCCCATCCAATTAAAGGTTGAAAACGGAGAACGACATGGAGACGACTAGTCAAGATATATATGTAAAGGGAATTAAAATTGATATGGAGGAAGTTGGGAAACTTATAAAAAAATGTAACAAAGAAAAATAAAGACAATTCTGATTAATAGATAAAAAAACAGCTACGAGGCATAGTTGTTTACATTGTCACTAATTTATGAAAACAAATTTTAATCTATGCTAGCGGATGTATTTTCTACTAAACAAAGGAAATTGTAGAAAAGACTATTGTTTAGTAAAAAACAATGGTATCGATTACTTAGAGATACATAGTATACTTTGTATGTAGTATCTACTTACCCATTCCTACCATAGCTGCTTGACATAAATACTGTCTTGATATAAGACATTGCGTACTTGGTTTTATTATAACAAAACCGAATCCTACACAGCCCAAGGCAGTGGCGAAGCCCATAAAGGTCTGTAGAACGACTAATCCGTTATCTTCAAGACCTTCTCTATAGCCTTGGTACGCCTAAAATTACAGAAAAACATTTTTTTTTATATTTACCAATCAAAACTTAATAACTCAGTGTAATCAAATGTAAAATAAAAATAGAAAAGTCTGTATGAGAATTCTAGTTAAGACTTGAGTTGAATACTCAACCCAGTATTCAAGGCATTGTTTAAGTGCTATGAGTAGTTTTTGGCATAGGGCAAATCATCCAGTCATAGCAATTTTATTATACATTTAAAAAGAAAAAAAGTAAAAAAACTATTGTATTAAATGTGTAAAACGTGGACACTTGCTTGCCATCTAGGGACCCTTTAAAACATTTTATTTAGACACAACTAGACTAGGTCGCGGATAAGAGGTATTATTTTTTTCCCTTTTTGTTGAGGCTGGCTATTTTCTGGGCCGTATACTCCGATAATGTTCAAGTCTTTCTTCTCCATTCTGATCTTTGCTGTTACAATCCTTTCTGCTGTTTAGTGACACTTTTTGATGTGATTTTGGTACCTTTAGTGTATTAGTAAGGCTACACTTTCTTTAGCCCCAACTTTTCTGCCACTACATTGTAGATTGGTGTGTCATCAACTAGCCTCTAACGTCCAATGCTGAACATAGGCCTCTCGCATTCTTTTTCGCTTTTTCTCGCACTTAGTCCGATTTTGCGCCATCTGAATCCAATTTGTAGTCACCCTTTTTATGTCATCTGTCCATCTCGTTGGGGGTCGACCTCTATTTCTGTTTGCTTGTATTCGGGCCTCCATTCCAAAATTCTTTTTGTTCACTGGTCATCAACTGATTTTGCTACATGACCTGCCCAGTTCCACTTTAGTGTTGTTACGCTTTCAATAAACGTCCTGCTTACGATCTTTGCATATAGTAGCATTTGATATTCTATCACGTAGAGAAATCCCTAACATTATTCTCATTGTAGTATTTACATTGCCCTTTCAGCAACTTGTAGTTTGCTCACTGTTGTTCTTGTGAATGTTTTCATTCTCAGAGCAGAAAGGGATTCTGCTCCCCGTCATCACTGAAAAATACATCGATTAAATGCTTTTCTTTTCAGACACATTGGAATCTTAGACCTAAAAATATCTTTCATCTTTCCAACTGCAACCCAAGCGAGGTTTATTATTCTTTTCAGCTCGATTGTTTGGTTGTTTTGACATATTTCTGATCTCATGGCCAAGTATTTATAGGAGTCAACTGGCTTAATATCTTTGTCTACTACTGAGATGTTTTTGTTGTGGACGAAATTTGTCATAAATTGTGTTTTTGAAAAATTTATTTTGTGGCAGTATGGAGTTCTTGGAGCATTATCTGTGTCTGATCAAAGCTGTCTGCAATAAGAACGATATCATCTGCAAATTTAAGGTTATATAAACATTTTTCATCTACATTGATGCCCTTTTCGTTCCAATCTATTGTTTTACAAGCGTATTCTAGCAAAGTTGTAAATAATTTAGAAGACATGTTGTCTCCTTGCCGAATGCCTCTTTCACTACGAAAGGTCCCAGTATCTTCATTAAGTCTTACACAGGCTGTAGCATGCTGATATATGTATCTGATGAGGATATGTATCGGTGATCTTTTCTACATTGTGTTAGAACTTGGAGCATTTCACTTTGATTGACCGTATCAAATGCTTTTTCAAAGTCGACAAAGATAAGTATCAGGGGTCCTTTATATTCAATGGTTTTTTCAATTAACGACTTAATGGTTTGCAAATGATCATTTGTTTCGTATCCAGATTAGTGTGTATTCACCTGATTTTCATTATCATTCTCGTTTCCTTTGTATTTTCTGTAGAGCGCAAGTGTCGATGACACTTTGAGTTGAGCGATCTGATATTCCATGTAATAATTTTTATCTGGCTTTTGATATTTTTTTGCTTGTTCTTATTTCTTGCCGTGGTCGTTTTCATAGAATCAATTTGATTCCGATGCTGTACATTGTTTCTTTAAGCAGTATTAGTTTTGATGATTGGTAAGTTGCTAACCTTGCCTTTCTCGTTTCACATTTTATCTGAGCATGGGACCGAACTTTGAAATATCTAGGTATTACAAATAACGTAAATCAAACTTATAATTACTATTAAAATAAGTAAAATAGGTTACCTAAGACATTTTGGTACATAAAAAGAGATGATCTCTTTTCCACTCTTTTACTTTTGACTTTTTGCACTTTTAAGATAAGGACTAATTGAACACATCAGTAAAAGCAGGAAGTACCCCTGGTTAAAAGATGGAGATTGGTCACGCATTTATATACACCCACAGAGACTAATTTGATATGAATGGTCAGTAATGAAGACAGCTAAAGAAATTACTTACCAAATAAAATATTGGAGCATAAATTCCTAATGCGGCAAAGGCACAGGCTATCATAAGTACCCTAAGACCTCTACTCTTCAAGGGACTAAAGTCAAACATCGGCGGCTTGGGCACTTTCGTGTGGGATTTCTTCTCTTTCATTTTCTTTCGCTGGTTTTTAAGATGCGTAATTGCTCGTCTCTGAGGGTGATAAAGGTTGGCCGATCTGTACACGATGGGAAGAAAGAAGGCCAAAGCCAGAAGACCGGTTACAGCTTGGAGTCCAAGACGCCAACCAAGTTTACTAAAAATTAAAATTAATTTGATTAAGTAAATTAGCAAATGATTTTGTTTTTTTTTAATTCTAGTAGTCATAAATACAAAAAAAATGGACTATTCGCTTTATTAGTCATTCAATTGATCTCGCAGATCTCGCAGTGTGAATTCTTAGTTGAAATACCGACAATATTCTGCACTATTATTACTTGTTGCAAGAAAAAAACAACTTGATCCAATCCATTTTTAGATTGAACTAAACAGTCTCATTTAATTTGGTCAGACTAGGTTGCTGTCTAAGCGTTCTCAAAACATTTCCGATGATGTAGGAAATCTAAACGTCGCGTCGTAATGAGCTGACTGTAAACGTCCAAGCTTCCACGCCGTGTAATAGTACACTAAATACATAACATTGAAAATAAGGCTATTATCGAGCACAAGTTAATTAAATCTAGCCCAAGTACTTTCGCTTAAAATAGCATCTTCAGGGGCATTTCGTCAAAATGTGAACTATCCGGCAAGCGTAGAATGTGGAAACATTAAAATAACATAAATTGTACAAAACACTACACTAAAACGAGGACAAACAGTTTAAAATTACTTCTACGCTACATTCTCTGTCAGTATCTGAGTAATTCACAAATTAAATTCATTATCCCTCCAGATACTGACAGAGAATGTAGCGTAGAAGTAATTTTAAACTGTTTGTCCTCGTTTTAGTGTAGTGTTTTGTACAATTTATTAACTTGTGCTCGATAATAGCCTTATTTTCAAAGTTCATTTATTCGAGCATTCAACCTCATTTCATTTAAATACATAACACTTTATCATGCGGTATCGCAGGGACAAATCAAGATTACGAGTAGTGAGCAATTGTCGCATCTTTAAGAAGGTGTTTCTTGCCTGTTTCTATTCTACATTTAACCTCTTGCTCTTGGTCTAAGATTTCATGTATCCAACCATTCAAGCAAGGAATCAAAGATATAATTAAAATATATTTTGTAAACTTACCCTACAGCTTCTTTAAAAGCACAGAAAATAGCGCTATACCCACTCCAGCACCCGATTGCGCCACCATTTCTACAAATTCTCTTCTTCGCTTGAAATAGTGGCCCAGTACTATGGTAGATGTTTCTCTTACTACTCCTGCTCCAATTCCTAGCACTAAGCCGTAACTCAAAAGTGCCTAAAACATAAAAATTTATGTTCTATAAATAGAGACGATATAAAGTTATAAATATTATGTCTAGTTAAGTGTTAGACTTTGTTTTTTAGTGAACTCTCTTATTTTTTATAATATTGTGATTGCAAACACATTTTTTTTTTAGTTAGAAACTATAGTACGAGATCTTACTGCAAGATGAAATTCACGTTTTTTAGATGCATAATGTATGGCAACCCTAATAAAAGAATTCCTGGCCCTCTTCTGTAAAAAGCATATGTAACGGAACCTCAGGAACTATTAGCTGGACGGAACTTACGACGACCCCTCTGAAGACGAAAAACAAGTACAAAGTAGAACGTTTTAGCACTTTAGGATATGCGGTTAACAGGAATCAAGAATTTGTGCATAATCACAGTAGAATTGGTTTAATGATATTATTGAGCCGAAGGAATGTGTAATAATATTTCTCATTTTATTTTTCTTATGGCAAACATTGTATTTGCAAAAATCGTAAAAATTGAAATAAGTTATTGTCAGAGCATAATGTTGTAGCTCCATTGTAGCTGATTCATTTAATTCTGTTAATGTATCGTCCTTCTATAGTTTCATTTCTATTATTTTTAAAAACTTTTTCCATAGTCAAATTAGTAAATAGACTGGTGTTTGTCAAAACTAACTAGCATATTGTTGGGTTGTAATCTATGTCTGCTACTTTTTTGCCATAAAAGTGTTGTATTCTGTGCCAATGGTTGTATTCTTTTTGGAAGGTACCTAGACAGTTTTCTGCAGTTTTACTGTTACAAATTGGTCTAAAGGATACGACTTGTGTATTTTGGGACTCTATATACGTGTGGTCTTCTACTGCATATGGTGTTAATATTATTTTAAGAAAGTCTGTCAGATACTTCGAAAATTTAGATATTGTTTTGTATATTTTCTTCTCTGAGGAATTATTTGGGTTCTTTTGTAGTTTTGAGTCTAGTCTATTTGTAATAAGTTCTTGAATTTTCTTCTGGTATTAGATTTTGTCCATAATTACAGTTGCATTACACTTATCTTCTGGTAAAATTATCATGAACTAATCTTCTCCTAAAGATTAAAAGATAGATATTTATGAGAAAGACATAAAATTTAGATCTTAGGAAAATTTATTATACAGCAAGTGATTATCAAAAAATTTAACTTTGTGAATCTTAACCTGCTTAGCAAAGTTTTTCCATTCTGCCCTGTCGCATACTTTTCTTTACCACTGCCTATTTATGCTATTATAGTGCTATTATATTTTAAAACCTAATTATGTCCCCCCTTTGTAATATATAATCTACATTAAAGCATACAAACCTGATGGAACTGCACAGCGAAAGAAGTAAAAAGACAAGCCAGGGAAATTACAAGACCTCCTAGAAGAGCAGCCAATCTGGCAGACTTCCGCCTACAAATGGCCACGATTAAGGGAGAAGTGAAAAATGATATACACAGGCACAATGCACCCATCCAAGCTGAAACAAAATTAAACAATTATTATCTTACAAATATTTTAAGCACAATTTTAGTAATTTTTTTTTTGCCATAATACAATTTTTAATCTGGGATAATAAATATAAAATGTGTATTTGTGTAATAACATGAGTGCAAAATAATCGACTAAAAATTATTTTGCGAAAGTAAATCTCCTGTTACCATTTAAAAAGTGTTATTTTAAAATATTTAGTGTACAAATATCATTAATCTCATTATTGAGTTTTAGAAAAGTTTTGTGTTTTGGTGAATCAAATGACGTATTTCAAATAAACAATGTAACACGTAGAGAGGGGGCCAGAATTTGATTAAATGAAATCCACATAGCATTATCGAGAGAAGGCGTGCGCCAAGGACCGTGGCAAATTGACCAAATTTAAGTCAACCTGCTGTGTCTCCGTGTATTATCAGTACCAAGATACTGGTGATTATGTTCGCCGACAAGGAGGAGGCCGTAAACGATTAACACCAAAGAGAAATGATCGATTTCTTGTACCAAAATCTCTGAGAAATCGATATTTGACTAGTGCTAATCTCCAAGAAAAGCTTAGAGAGGTTCGGGGTGTGGTTACCAGTGTTTGGACAGCAGGATACTGATGACGGCCAACTCGACATGAAAAAGTGCAGTTACGGGTCCCAAGCTAACTGAAGCCGAGCAAAGGGAATTAGAATTTGCCGCCGAACATCTGGATTGGGACAACATGAAGTGAGGTATTATTCTCCGACAAAAGTAGTATCTGCCTACATGGCAACGATAAGGGGAATTAAGTCTATAAAAGGCCAGGAGAGCAATTTGCTCAATATTGTATACGAGAAATTGTGTAATATGAAGGAGTTCTTGTATATTTTGGGCAGGCATTTCCATGGATATGAAAACGAAGTTGATTTTCGTACCTGGTGGAGGACGTGGAGGAGGTTTAAACGGTAGATCGTTACATCAGAAACATTTTGGAGAAACATGTGGTTCCATACGCGGGATTTATTGGTGATGTCTTGATTTTAATGTATGGTTATACCGCACGAGTCACCACCACCTATCTGACTGAGATCGGTATATCTACAATAAATTGGCCTGCGTTGAGCCCGGACATAAATCCAATAAAGCATGTTTGGCATAAGCTTAAATGAAGAGTCCGGGATAGAAATCATGCACCAATAAGCGTAATGGAATTAAGAGCTGCGGTTAATAATGAATGGAAGTAATGTCTCAAGAATGTATTGGCAAAATGCTCTAACTATCGAGGAATTACGCTTCTAAATGCAGCGTATAAAATATTCTCCAATATACTATGCCATCGTATGGCACCGTATGCAGAGCAAATAATAAAACAATACTAGGCTGGTTTCAGACGTGGTAAATCAACAATTCATCAGATTTCAACCCTAAGACTGCAGATTGTGCACACACAAACAATTTTTACATCTACACCTATTCATTGTCATAAAACTGTCACCTTCATAAAACAATTACTCAATAAATAACACACATTTCAAAAAAATATATCTCTGGAATAAGTATAAATAGCCTTTAATAACACAATAGTATATTACATCACTTACATTTAACAAACAATCTTACACATATCTCAAATTCATTGGATTAAATCTATCTCCTCAAGAACTTCCCGTTTACTGTCAAACAACTGCAATAATAGAATTGAGTTCTCCATTCAACAATATAAAGTAGTTTCAACCATGTTCTACCATCCATCTATTAATAGAGTACCGGCATGTAAGTAATGTTTATTTTATTTATTTATTTGCTCATTTATTAATTTATTACAATCGAAGAGACTATTTTGTAACAATTTGTGGGCCTTACCTTGTCTGTTTAACCTTTTTAACAATTTTATACCTTTTATTCAACTTACTCATTTAAATAAAACCACAGACATGTAATATTGGCATAATTATTGTAATTTACAACACCTACTTTGTTTATCGTTATTAGACAACACCCTAATATGGGTTTTTATTATTTCAGCATTTGTTTAACTTTGTATCGAGACCTGAGGATGCTTTGCATATTGTAGAAAGCGAAACCGGTCGTCTGATAGTTAAATTAAATTGATTGTGAGTAAGTCTTATTTATTATTTCTTTACCTATTTGAAAATGGACTCACACAAGCAACACATTCATGATTTAAATTCTGCAAATCTTTCTGCTTCTTCGTCTTCCTTTTTATCAGCAATTGTGCTTGCTCATACAGATTGATACCTTTTTCTGCTCCTCTTTTTAACGGGCTAGGTTTATCGACCAGGTGACCTTCCTATTGGTCATTTAAGTTACGTAGTCAATAAACGCGGCGCATTAAAGTGATGCAGGAACTTCTTTCCGTCACTGGTTTTCTTTGTCGCATTGGAAAACGGGACTTTATTGCATTATTTGTATCGTATGTCTATGGTGAATACCGTGTGAATACCAACAAACATAACCTAATATACGCAGTTCGTTCTGCGTGTTTCATGCTATGTAGATAATGATGTTGCGCGTTGAAACCGTTGCGAGAGAAGATATGAGTAAAGGAGAGAAATATATAAGAAAATAAAGAGCCTGATAGCAGGGGAAAATATGGAGGAATTGTGCACAAAATTGTGTTTTTGTCTCAACGTATTCGTTACCTCCACCCCGTTTGAACGAACCTTCCTACGTCATGATCGGACTAATAAAAAGGAAGGTATGACGTATTGCCCTTGTGGCATGCTCCGATACGCACGGCACATACTGCGTTCCCCATTTTTTTACCCCTTTCCAACGATACGTCATACGTCATCCCACGTTAAGCTGTTTGGCAGTTACAACCGGGGGTTGCGATTTAGTGGTTGCGATTTAGGGGTTATGCTCAAACTCCCCTAGTATATCGACTGGCTTAGATGGTCCGGACATATAACACGAATGCCTGACAACATAATGCCAAAAAGCTGACAGGAACACCTATAGGACGAAGAAGCAGACACCGACCACAAATTGGATGGTTAGATGGAATTGAGACCGACTTAGGGATACTAGAGATCAATGATGGCAACACGTTGCCAGAATAGAATACCGACAAATCTTAAACAAGGCCACAATCTCTAGAGGATTATCGAGACAAAGATAAGGATGATGACGTCATGATGTCCATATTTTGTCTATGCGATTAGATTAAAACAATCCTTATTTATTTATAAAATTACGTCACCAATAACAATTTACACACACATCAAAACTAAGATCGTGACATCGTGACAATATTATGACATTTCCTTTTCTATTACCCGATTTTTGACATATTTTGTATTTTTTTATACCAAAACGCAATGAATCAGCTAAGTGGAAAATATGTAAATGTTGTCCTCTCTGTAGAAAGTGGAAGAGGAATGGATTTTTTAAAAAACAAGGTGTATATTACAGGAAATTTTAATAACAGAATACTTGGTAAGTAACTGTTTACTTTGATAGATGTTTAAATAATAAAGGACTACACATTTTAATAGAATATAAGTAAACATTTTTTTCATAA